TTTAACACAAACACCAATCATCATATCATGGTCACTCCACTGCTGGATGAAGGCCTCCCCAAGCTGTCACTGTCTCACACAATGCTGTGATGAAGTCATCCATCCAGCCCCTGCCCGCGAGATGATTGCATTGTTCCGTATGGCCGGCCGTACTCTTGCGCATATCCCCTCCTCCCTTCCCTGCCGCTCCATCATTATTCTTTGCAATTGGCCGTCATTCCTTCTAGTTACCTGTCCTGCCAGAATCCATTTTTAAATGATGTGATTAAGCCCTCTTGTACTGGTAGGAACCTCCTGGTTACACCAGCCCACAGGGGATTATTGTGTCTGTCGTGCAGGGAGGGGCTGGGTGGGGAGGGGCTGGGTGGGGAGGGGAGGGTGGGGAGGGGCTGGGTGGGGAGGGGCTGGGTGGGGAGGGGAGGGGCTGGGTGGGGAGGGTGGGGCTGAGTGGGGGAGGGTGGGGTTGGGTGGGGAAGGGCTGGGTGGGGAGGATGGGGCTGGGTGGGGGTGGGGCTGGGTGGGGTGGGGCTGGGTGGGGAGGGGCTGGTCACCCCGTGATGCCCTTATAAAACTCAACGTTTAACCTACTCACGCCGGCTTGTGCCCGCCCTCACAGTCGGGCATATTTGCGGAATACACCACGCCGCCGTTGACCCTGGCCATTGACCGAGCAACCCAACGTTCCTACCTGCTCCCTCCGCAGGAATGTGTTTCTTTGCAATTGGCCATCATTCCTTCTAGTTACCTGTCCTGCCAAAATCAATTTTTAAATGATGTGATTAAGCCCTGCTTGTTTTCTCGAATCCATACATTCCTCTTTCTGTCCCACAAAAAAAAACAGAATGTAGCAACTCTTTGATAGGGAGATGCATTTAAGAAGTACATTTCCGTTTTTAATCATGATAATCGCATAAGCAGCACCACTACAAAATGCAATCAACACCTAACCTCAAAAACACATCCTTCAAAGACCATAAACAAATCTACCTACACGTCTCCCAAAACATTTTCAAAGTAACTAATAGAAAACTATAAGAGAAAGCTTCAAACAAAACTTGATGAAGGCCTTCAGAGAGTTTCCAGCATGCAGAGCTCATAAAGTGCAAACCAGCACCCTCTGATGTAGGAAGACGGTGCTTTATGTGTTTTGACAGCACCCATATCCGTTCCTCACATGCTAATTAATACATAGTACCCCGTTTCCTCATTCCCCTAGCGACTCCGACTCTTCTAGCACCTTGAAATTAATTGGCTTCATATTAGTCTGCCCATTCCTATTATATAATTGATTTCGCAACAATTGGCACACGTTCAACTGTGGCGAGTCTGAAAGAGTTCATTGTGCTGCGCAAAACATCCCCGGCAAACACAATCTGCTCATTCTTAATGCGGTTTAATCTCTACTACAAGGTTACAAACACATTCCTGCGGAGGGGGCTGGTAGGAACGTTGGGTTGCTCGGTCAATGGCCAGGGTCAACGGCGGTGTGGTGTATTCCGCAAATATGCCCGACTGTGAGGCAGAGGTCGCAAACGGGTTTTGATCCCTTACCCGTACCCGTACCCGGCCGCACCAGGGTCGCAGACGGGTACCCGTACCCGGCCGTACCCGTACCCTACCCGTACCCGGCTGGGTATCGGGTAGGGTACGGGTATCGGGTACCCGATTGCGACCTCTGGGATGAAGCCATGTTGCAGGCGCAGGTGGGTTGATTCTAGGAACTTGAATTGTGAGAAGAGACAAGACGTTGGGAAATGAGTGACAAACGGTTACTCACCTGTGACTCACGGCCTACCCGTACCCGTACCCGGCCGCACCAGGGTCGCAAACGGCTACCCGTACCCGTATCTGGCCGGGTACGGGTAGCCGGGTATCAGGTAGGGTACGAGTATCGGGTACCCGGTTGCGACCTCTGCTGTGAGGGCGGGCACAAGCCGGCGTGAGTAGGTTAAACGTTGAGTTTTATAAGGGCACCACGGGGTGACCAGCCCCTCCCCACCCCTCCCACCCCCCATCCAGCCCCTCCCCAACCTCCCCACCCAGCCCCTCCCCACCCTCCCCTCCCCACCCAGCCCCACCCTCCCCTCCCCACCCAGCCCATCCCTCTTCACCCAGCCCCTTCCTGCACGACGGACACAACAATCCCCTGTGGGCTGGTGTAACCAGGAGGTTCCTACCAGTATTAACACAAAATTATGTCTTATCTGTAATTTCTGTACCATATTAAAACAATAATTAATACTGTACAGCCCCTAAGCAAACTACTTACGTACAAATGAACACAACGGCTCAGGCATAACCTCGATGCCTGCTGCATGTGTGAACTGCGCCAAACATGCTTGTGGAACTCAATGCGAGGCTCTTAGAACGTGCACGCAATACAGGTGCATTTTGTTTTATTGTACAATGATTGTGTACTACAGTTTATATATTTATAGCGCCATTGTCAAGCGACTTGTAGATACAGGCTTCCCCCACACCGTGTCGGTTGTTTGACCATACTTCACCACGATGGTCACAGCAGGGTTGGTGAAATGGGAGGGGTGCCTCGAACTGGTTTAGATATCACACACCACTTAGGACTGTCTCAGATATCACTCACCACTGGTTTATATATCACTCACCACCTAGGACTGACTCAAATATCACTCACCACTGGTTTATATATCACTCACCACCTAGGGCTGACTCAAATATCACTCACCACTGGTTTATATATCACTCACCACTTAGGACTGTCTCAAATATCACTCACCAACGATATTAGCCAAAGCTAGGAAATCGAACTCAGGTCGCCGCATTCAAAGTCTCGTGTGCCCACCACTGCATCACCGCTCTCCTCTACCGCCTCCCAAATTCTTGATGATGTAAGGAGAGCATTGGCGACGATAATGTGTATCAGTGGAATTCACGTGCGAGCAAAAAAAAGGAATGTACGTACAGTACCGTGTACTGTTTGTGAACGTACACCGATTGTAATGACGACGTGCTTATGGAATGTTAATGAAATGTGCCCACGGATGGGTACGAGGATGCGCACGGAATGCAAATATCAATGCATTTGCCAAACTAGCTATTGATATTTAATTCCGGTCATATTTGAGCATTCGCTGCAATATCAATGAGAATTATATCAGGGACGTGATTTCATTATCTTTGCTTTCATTCGCAGTGGCACGCATGAGAGTTTATGCAAACAGAACACGCAATGCCACCCACTGGGCCGATAGCATGCGGGATGGGGGGGGGAATGGTCAGCCCCCCCCCCTTCTAAATTGTAAATTATTATAGCCAACTTCTTGGTTCTTTCGGTAAAGTCACGTAGAAGGGAAGTAAAAAAATAATAAAAATAAAACATAATAAAATAATTCAATAATTATTGAATTATTTTATTATGTTTTAAAAAGAAAGAACCAAGAAGATGAATCCCTGCAGTCACGAAAGCTTTAAATCGAAATATTATAGCCAAGTCAGTAAATGTTGGTCCAATGCAAACATAACGGCGAGCGTTAAGAGCAGACATGCATGTAAAGGCAAAAGCAGATTACGTAATTACACATTCTCTTTCGATTGTCACATTTGTTTTCAAAGTGTATTCAACACTGTCCGTGTCGTTGCCCCCCCCCCCCCTTTCCCTCCCCTGAGGTTGTTTGTGAATGCCCTTCCTTTAGACAAGGTCTCGCTGCTACTACTACAATGCTGCCACCCACAGACGTAGCCTGCATATACAGTGAGGGGAAAAAGTATTTGATCCCCTGCTGATTTTGTACGTTTGCCCACTGACAAAAAAATTACCAGTCTATAATTTTAATGGTAGGTTTATTTGAACAGTGAGAGACAGAATAACAACAAAAATCCAGAAAAACGCATGTCAAAAATGTTATGAATTGATTTGCATTTTAATGAGCGAAATAAGTATTTGACCCCTCTGCAAAACATGACTTAGTACTTGGTGGCAAAGCCCTTGTTGGCAATCACAGAGGTCAGACGTTTTTTGTAGTTGGCCACCAGGTTTGCACACATCTCAGGATGGATTTCGTCCCACTCCTCTTTGCAGATCTTCTCCAAGTCATTAAGGTTTCGAGGCTGACGTTTGGCAACTCGAACCTTCAGCTCCCCCCACAGATTTTCTATGGGATTAAGGTCTGGAGACTGGCTAGGCCACTCCAGGACCTTAATGTGCTTCTTCTTAAGCCACTCCTTTGTTGCCTTGACCGTGTGTTTTGGGTCATTGTCATGCTGGAATACCCATCCACGACCCATTTTCAATGTCCTGGCTGAGGGAAGGAAGTTCTCACCCAATATTTGACGGTACATGGCCCCGTCCATCGTCCCTTTGATGCGGTGAAGTTGTCCTGTCCCCTTAGCAGAAAAACACCCCCAAAGCATAATGTTTCCACCTCCATGTTTGACGGTGGGGATGGTGTTCTTGGGGTCATAGGCAGCATTCCTCCTCCTCCGAACACGGCGAGTTGAGTTGATGCCAAAGAGCTCCATTTTGGTCTCATCTGACCACAACACTTTCACCCAGTTGTCCTCTGAATCATTCAGATGTTCATTGGCAAACTTCAGACGGGCATGTATATGTACTTTCTTGAGCAGGGGGACCTTGTGGGCCCTGCAAGATTTCAGTCCTTCACGGCGTAGTGTGCTACCAACTGTTTTCTTGATGACTATGGTCCCAGCTGCCTTGAGATCATTGACAAGATCCTCCCATGTAGTTCTGGGCTGATTCCTCACCATTCTCATGATCATTGCAACTCCACGAGGTGAGATCTTGCATGGAGCCCCAGGCCGAGGGAGATTGACAGTTCTTTTTTGTATTTCTTCCATTTGCGATTAATCGCACCAACTGTTGTCACCTTCTCACCAAGCTGCTTAGCGATGGTCTTGTAACCCATTCCAGCCTTGTGTAGGTTTACAATCTTGTCCCTGACATCCTTGGAGAGCTCTTTGGTCTTGGCCATGGTGGAGAGTTTGGAATCTGATTGATTGATTGCTTCTGTGAACAGGTGTCTTTTATACAGGTAACAATCTGAGATTAGGAGCACTCCCTTTAAGAGTGTGTTCCTAATCTCAGCTCGTTACCTGTATAAAAGACACCTGGGAGCCAGAAATCTTTCTGATTGAGAGGGGGTCAAATACTTATTTCTCTCATTAAAATGCAAATCAATTTATAACATTTTTGACATGCGTTTTTCTGGATTTTGTTGTTGTTATTCTGTCTCTCACTGTTCAAATAAACCTACCATTAAAATTATAGACTGATCATTTCTTTGTCAGTGGGCAAACGTACAAAATCAGCAGGGGATCAAATACTTTTTCCCCTCACTGTAGAATAGCACGCGCCACGTGCACGCATGGTCCACACACATTCAGAGCACGAGGAGCAGCACAGTTTGACTCCACCGTAGGGTGACAAATGTTCATTATTGGGTCAAATTTCGCGAGCTCGAGCAGGGAAACGGTGCCTCGAATGGATAACGAATGGCCGGGGGTCGAGACGAACGACTTGGTTGGTGGTGGCAGCCAAAGGAGAGAAACATGCTCGAGGGGACATCGACCGAGGATTTGGAGCGATGAGATCGGCTCGTGTGCAGGTGCCGAAGGGATTGATTGTTGCATCGCATGGCCAATACGGCTTGGCAACGGCCTGGGTACGCCTTCATCCAGCAGTGGATCGATCTTGGCTGCGAGTGATGATGATGAGTCAAGTGGTTGGACGCTCTGCGAACGGGACAAAGAGATTCGCACTGAAAACTTTCGTGACTGCAGGAATTCCTGTTATTTGGTTATTTCGGTAAAGTCACGTAGATAGAAGAAAAATAACAATAAAAATAACAAAAAATAACAAAAAAATACAAAGTAAACAAAATAAATAAATAAACAACGACGTTTCGATCACAACACAAGCGGATCGTCTTCAGGAGGAATAAAAAAAAAGTATTTTTAAAAAAACAACGGTTTTTTATTCACAACTTCCAATTAACTCACGGTCGAGAAGTACGCCAATGATGCGGCGTCTGCTCCCACGCCAACGTTTACTGGAATTAATTGATTATTTTATGAATGAATCTTCAATGTACAACTTTTGTTTGTGTGGAGTGATGGCGCCTGAGACGACACGTGGCGCCTGCTTCTTGGGCGATGCAATTCCAGAGTTTAAGGACCGCGGCGTTTTTGTCCTCCCCAAATAAATATTTAATTAATTATCCGTCCATACAAAATGTTAATTGCTTTAAAAGAGCCAATTCATTGATGCCGCTTTTGATAGAGGCACGCATTGTCACCGGATCTGAGTACGTGTGCAACATTTGGAATTCATTGGACTACAGGAAGTAGACTAAATTTTGATTACAAGATTTGACCACAACAAACTTAGGAGTCAAAGTTAAGTAAAACCGTTAACAAAACGTTGAAAAATAAGTCATATTTAAACACTTTTTTAGAAACACGCTTTAATGAAATGTACCGTACGAGTAATGGCAGAACTCCACGACTCCAGGAAGTGGCCCCGAAGTTTGCCATAACGTAAGGAGCCGTGGTGATTTACAGCCAACGTCAGTTTACCGTGGACAATTAGAGCCAAGCCGAAACATAACATAAAAAATAATGTTTTAAAATATATTTTTTTTATGATGTCATCAGTATGACATACGCATACCAAGTGTGCAGTCGATAGCACATTGGGAAGTGGGTTAAAATTGAGTTACAAGATTTGAGGATACAACAACGACAGTGAGTTAAATAAAAGCGTGTCATAATAAAACAGGAGACGATCGCTTGTGTTGTGATTGAAACGTCGAAGTTTTAATTTATTTATTTCCTTTTTTGTCTATCTACGTGACTTTACCGAAAAACCAAAGAAGATGAGATTCACACAGTTTGCCTTTCAAAGCAGATATCTGTGTCACCACGCTTCTGTATAGCATCACATGCCGAGCATACAGTTTGCACAAAAACATTCAGTGTCTACAAACATCTCTCAGCCTTACGCATAGCGCAATACCACCAGTTCCTAAAGAACTGCATTGTGGATATTGTTTTCCGTCACCATCAAGCAATTGAGCAATAGTGACCAACCACCCACATTTAAACAACACACAAGAGAAAATGTAGACGTTTTGGAGTCTTCATAATATGTTCCTTCAGTCAGCTACTTTGCGACGATGGGGCCAAATGAATTTCCATCATGGTCCTCTTTCCGTAGCCAGTGTTACCGCTTTGTTCTATCTCGATGATTTCTCTTCTTACAATTGCTTCCACCCACCTGCTTCAACAATTCCCCTATGTGGCAACACAGCCGTGTAAAAACGCCCGTGTTGTTTTAAATTCTTTTCAGAACGCCTTCTCAAAGCACCGATGTAACCACTCGTGTGTGGATACACTTTCGGATGAGTGCATGTCGTGAGCACTGAAATTGTGCGTGGTACGGCTGGCAGCAGAACGACAAGACAAATGTACATAGAGAGTCCCCTCTTAGCTGGGTCAAGACGACACCATCAAGCCATTACGGAAAATGCTACCACTCATTCATTGCCTCTAGTGGTACTCCATACATCACACCGCTCCAGTCACGCGCAGCACAAATCTTAATGCTCAGCGCACGTGTGACGAGAGGACGCGGATGGATGCTATAAACGTTAACAACGGGTAACATGCATTAATTCACAAATTCGGTTAATCTGCAGTATAATTGCGCTGTCAACAACCTTGTAGCATGACTTTGTTTAAAGGAGGTGGCGGGGGAGGGGGGTGCATACTAAAACTCACGGAGGGGGGGGGGGGCACGGCAGAGTTAATGTGAAACAATCGTCAAACTAAAACCCATTTAGAATTGGGGAGCTGAACATTTGGGTAGAGGGGGAGCCCCCCCCCCCCAGGCCCCTCCCCGACGCTATGGGGCAGCCTCGCAGTTTCACTGGCGAAGGCCTTCGGGAGAATACCGTGTGCACTCATAAGGGGCCGTCCATAAATGACGTCACGCACCTATTGGGGGGGGGGGGGTCAGACATTTGTGACGATGTGTGACGAGGGGGGGGGGAGTTTGAGAAATGTGACGTCACATCAAAATGCGCAACTTTAAATAAATATAGACAACACTTTACACTTAATTAAATAGACTTTTTAATAAATGTTTTCTCCTACAACATCAGAGTGCAGCGCCACATTAAATACGCACTACAATGACAATAGTTTAAAGCGATTTGAAGTATGTTTTTTTTTCGGGGGGGGGGGCAGCAGAGCTTTGTGACGTCATATTTGAGGGGGGGGTCTGACTTTTTGTGACGCCGTGTGACGAGGGGGGGGGGGTCAGAAATCGTCCAAAATCGCGTGACGTCATTTATGGACGGCCCCTAAACGGCTGGGTGTTGGCCACAGCTGAAGCCTTCAGACAGGAGCACATCCCAGTGATGATGGGAGACAGATTCGTCCACCGCTGGTTTTACAAACTACCCACGACAGCTGAGGGCCGTGATTTCAATCTCACTTCAATACAATTCGTTGTCTTCTCAATCTGCCCTCTTTCACAGCATACCGGGGAAACCTGCAAGCGCAGTGAGGGATCACTTCAACCTCCCGACCCGCCAGCCGGTCCCCTACTCTATCAAAACCTGCCGGCCCCATACTTAACCGTTGCCCCGATCTCACCCTCACTCATCATCGCAAGAGGAGCTCCATCTACCAGCATTGCGGGCGGCCAAGCGCACGTTGTTGTACAGACCGAATGTTATCATCCTTGTGTACAGTGTTCGGCGAAAAAATGCACGAGTGTTGTGTAGTTTGTGACGCCAACGTGTCCCGTCCAGCCGGTACGGGGGATGGTTAAGGGGCCACCCTTTTTGAGGCAATTTGTTGCACCTTTTGTGCTGAGATAATGCCATCGTAGAAATCCGACATGTCAAGAAAGTCATGTTCTTAGGTTTTTTCGGTAAAGTCACGTAGGTAAAAAATTAAAATTAATAAAAGTAAAATAAAAAATAAAATAAAAATCACGACGTTTCGGATGCAACACAAGCTTCCGTCTTCAGGTGGAATTGTCACAACACGACTGCTGCATCAAGTAAGATATTTTTTTATTTTACTTTTATCAATTTAAATAAAACATTTTTACCTACGTGACTTTACCGAAAAAACCTAATAATATGAATCTTTGCAGTCACGAAAGCTTCAAATCTAGAAGAAAGTCATGCTTTAGGGCAGGGGTGGGAAACGTCCGGTCCATGGGCTGTACAAGGCCCGCGAAATCATTTGGTCTGGCCCTGCCAAGGCAACCGCAGGCGAGACTCGAAATTCAATAAATCTAGGAGCAAACTTGGAAAAGCAGTTGCGAGTAGCAACATCATCAATACCAGCTAACATCACACGCCTCGCCAAAGAGAAGCAGTTCCAGCCATCACATTAGGGGCGAGATCATTAAATCTTTGACCAAATATAACAGGCTAATTTTTAAGTTGATAATTTTATATGGCCCGCGAATGATGTTATAAATATCCAAATGGCCCTTGGCAGAAAAAAGTTCCCCACCCGTGCTCTATGCTTTAGGGCTTGTCTTTCCTGGTGGCTAAGATGCCCGTTATCGTACAATAATATTTCACCTTTTTTACAGAAATCGACGACTCAATGGTTGTAATTGTAATCAATTTGCTTCTATAGCTTCCCAAATAAAAGCCCCCCTTTATGATTGCATTTATTCTTCCTTTGCTACCAGGATGTCAGCAGGCAATTTAACCCTCTGCGTCCAATATTACACTGTGACTGATCATCTCTGTCCACTGGAGCGGTTTACAGAGGGTTAGTGGTTCAGCCTCCACAGCTGCCTCGAAGACGCTTTGGAGAGTTACCAAAAGGCCCCATCTCCTTTAAAGTACTGTACTGTAGATTTTAAAGGTTGCGTGACGCCATTAACAAGAATAAATGGTGTTAGGCCACAAGCCGCTCCCATGAAAGAAAGACATATTTGAAAGTATAGCAATAGCTTTGGTCTTTCCCTCATTAGTTGCCAAAAAAATATTGCAACTTAAAAAGGGTCTCACCTAGTTAAATAAATAAAAATAACACCTAAGTGGCATTTTGTTTTTGGCAGGATGAATGCCATCTGCTTTTCAGTTCAATATAATGGGGACAGTGCGAGAAAGGGAACCATTCCCACCACCCTCCCCCCAATTTGTTAAAGAGCCAGCCTCTCACAGACACTCCCCACATGCAGAAAATAAAAGCCCTGTGCAAGCAAATGCGTCGTAAATGAATGCACTTAGTAAATGAATGCACTGGTTCCAATAAATGCACCAGCTCGTAAATAATGTTGATGAATAGGCCCATGCTCATAATGGACAGAAATTCAAATACCACGGCAAGGGGGGAAATGAATTGCAAGTAAAACATATCTTCCTTTCAAGCTCCACAGACTATGGACAGTCCTTGCTACTTGGTACAAAAACGCAATCTGTGTTTGTATGTTGAAAATATCGGTGTAACCCTTTTGACAATATGGTACAATTAACTTTTTACGTAGTGTTATAATTCTGTAAAGTATTCAAGAAATGTTTACATTATTATAACAATCAATTAAAACAAATGTTACTTAAATGCAGAAAAATAACAAGGAATTGTAGCAAAATGTCAATAGGATAAAAAATACACATTTAAAGCCCGAGTGTGTATTTTTTGCAGAACTACTGTATGGTATATGTACAGCCCTTTCCCAGTCTATTGTTGGATGGAAG